AAAATTAATACAACAACAGTTATTAGTGATGGATGCTGCCAAGCTGAAAAAAAAGACAAAATAGCACCCCAAAAATAAATAAATAAATAAATGTATAAATAAACAAATAAATAAATAAATATTATAAACGTTATACTCAAAACCTGGCACAATACATATGCCATATTTGAATAACAGGGGGCACGCTTTTTAGCAGTTTTTTGTCTGTTGCTCAATGATGTTGTATGCTTCAGGCTTTAGAATCTCTGTATTAAAAATATAGCACAATAAGTCATGGATTTCTTTATGGTGCTTTTTTTTTGTATGCAGCCCTTTGCATCAACCTATTTTGTGCCTGCGTAGATTACACGCAGATGATTATCATGGGCTCTGCTTGTTTGCAACCCTACTCTAATTTGCACTACTCTTGGTAGATTGCGTTGGTCATTATGGAAACACACTGGCTGTGTCTGTGTTCTTTAATTTACGCATTGTTAATAGATCACTTCCAGAACTTGTGTAGGCTACTGCTTGCATACTTGTTATGTGTACTGTTCTTGGGAATAAACAGAGGCGGACAAAGTACTCAACTCAATTACTTGAGTGAAAGTACAGATACTACTGGTCCAATATTACGCCCTTACAAATAAAAGTTGTAAAAACTTTTAAAGTAGTGCTTGCTTTTAAAAGTACTTAAGTACCAAAAGTAAATTTCCTTTTTTATGTCAATGCACTGATTTATTGTTGTACGTAATACTTGCAAAACTTCTGAAGCAACTTAGAATTCATTACACCTACTGAATACACTGACTAGCTTGTAGTATCTTTGGAATAAAGAGCTTTTAGAATGTTAAAAACCTATGGGGGAAAAAAATGAACACCCCTACCCACCCCCACAAAAGCAGTATGGTAGTGACCTCACATAGCTCTGACAGTGTGTGCACACATCTATGTGTAGCCATTCATCCACATTTGAAACAGAGTGGACAGTGAAATCCTGTAAATACAGAGTGATAAGGAAGGAAAAAAATCAAACCTGCTTTAAAACCCAGCAACACAACTGTAGCTTTTCAACTTTACAACAGCAACACTGCTTTAACAAAAAAGCAAAACAGCAAGACTTATTTGACATCAAAACCAAAATTTTAAAAATGCTGTCTAATAGCTCTCGCGGTACTTTGATGTCACAGACAGAACGGTCTGTGCAGTGCTGCTTCAAGTCCAACACCCTCTGGGAATAAATTGGCCCACTTTTAGTTCATAAAAGAATACTTTGATACTATAAACGGAATGTCTATTTACACTAAGTGCAAATAGCCCGCCTTGTTGACAGAGGCTATATACACTAGCTCCACCCACAAACGTGTGATAGGGATGGTCAACAATATAAAAAACAACAGACAATCGTCAGTTTCACTGGCGTAGATGGTAAAGTGTAATCTTTGGTCTTTTTGACACGATCAACCCGGGTTCGAATCTGCCTTTTACCTAACTTTTTTTTTTACCTTTTCAAATCTCATATCACATCAGAAAGGCATTTATTTTCAATAAAAATGAAGGAAATAATCAAAAAGTTGAAAATAAAGTATCGGGTAGAGTTAAAATATGTGTAGGGAAGGCTTTATTGTCCCAATAAGGTGGCATCCATTTAATAATTTGAATTAAATTTATAATTTACACTCAATACGTTATTATTGCATACTGTTTCATAATGTACTATAATACTGAGGTGCAGATAATTGCCACTATTTGCAATAAGTAGTATAACTAACAGAAAATCCTGCTATTTTAACATAGTGTAAATAAAAATCTATCGCTATCTGCACTTAGTGTAAATAGCATATTATTAAAAAATACTGCTATTTTCACTTAGTGTAAATATAATTAATTGCTATTTGCACTTAGTGTAAATAGCCTCTATCACTATTTGCACTTAGTGTAAATAGCATCTATTCGCTAAGAAAATATGCTATTTTCACTTAGTGTAAATAGCATCTATTGCTATTTGCACTTAGTGTAAATACCCTCTATTCGCTAAGAAAATATGTTATTTTCTTAAATAAAATAGCCTCTATCGCTATTTACACTTAGTGCACACTCCTACACTCTAAAAAAAAGGTTCTTCAGCAGTTCTTTGGAGTGGTTAAGGTGCTATATAGCACCACTACCGTATAAAGAACCTGTTAAGCCCCTGTATGGTTCTTCAGCGGTTCTTTGGAGTCGATGAGGTGCTATATAGCATCACTACCATAAAACCTGTAAGCCCCTGTATAGTTCTCTAACCAGTTAGACTTTATTTCTGGAGTATCTAAAACAGAAGTTCTTTATTGAGAATTAAGGTTTAGATGTTTTTTTTTTGTTTGTTTTATTCAACTTACCATTTTGGTGAATAGTAAGTCGCTTTGGATAAAAGCGTCTGCTAAATGACTAAATGTAAATGTAAATGTAGTATTTGCTTTAGTTGCCTCTTGACCCTTGAGTTTATTTTTGGCTGTTACAATAGTGTTTATAAAGCACATATGTGATGTCAGGGAACTTATGGTAAAGTAATTTCATGTGTCTGCGCCTCAGATTGCATTTTATCAAAATTTGTAGTTCATGTCTGAGTTTTATATTATTGCAATTCTACGATACTGTGAAACAGTTGTATAAACCACTTTTTGAATTATGGGTTATAAAGCAAAAAGCAAATAGTAAGAATAGAAGAAAATACTAAGACAATGCAGCTGCATAATTTATTCATGTCGCAATGCATGCTGGGAGCCATGAATGAGTTATGATTGGTGCACCATTGTTGAGAAAAAGTGCTATATGGCACCTCTTATGGTTCTACATGGCACCATTTGACAAAGGTGCTATATTGCACCTGTAAAAATTACTGTGTGTACTGCGTTAGGCTAGACTTGTCAATTGCACTTATATATTGTTGCTCTTGTTAGTTTTGACTGCTTTTATTGTCCTCATTTGTAAGTCGCTTTGGTTAAAAGCATCTGCTAAATGACTAAATATAAATATTTTTAAATTGCTAAAATGTTCAAAAAAGCATCTATTATATAATATCCATTTCTGATGTCGCCAAATAATTAAGAGATGCACCGAAATTTCGGCTGCCGAAAATGAGTTCACCGCTCAGGTTTCACTTTCACGTGGTGTGACGCTCTACGTATTATCCCGCTCTATGTGTGTGGGCTCCGCTCAGTCGCTCCACTCGTATACCATTCATGCTCATCGGAACAGCAAAGTCCGCTCAAAAATCTATCTGACAGGAAACATCGATGTAGTACAGTATTGTTTCTGTCTGTTTTGTAGGGTGCCACAAGTTTGTTAAAATTTCCAAAGGGTGCCGCGACTAAAAAAAGGTTGGGAAACACTGCTATATAGCACAATTTTTTTAAAGAAATTTAACAATAGTAAACTTTGAGTAAGGAAACTAGTTTCTAACTTTTTCTTTATTGCAACTATTGCAAGTGAAATTATAGGTATACTGTTTACTAGTTATTATACTTCTAACTCATTTATTTAGTTAATGGAAGTACATTTTGAATAATACTTTCTGGAAACTACCAGTTTAACAGACCATATAAATTTTAAACTAGTAGTTTACTGAGACTACTTTCATGAACTAAAAATTCAGATAAAAAAATATATATAATAAACTAACAGTATACCAAAAGTTCACTTATTGTATAGTTGCTATACTAAAGAAAACACTTAGATGTAAACTAGCTGTGTACCTAAATGTTGCACTTAATTTATACTTTAATAAACTAAAAGTGATGACAATTTAGTCCCAAGAAGTATTGGAAGAGTACACATAAAAATATACTGCTATACATTGAGGAGTGGCTTCGTAAGAAGCATTTTAAGGTCCTGGAGTGGCCTAGCCAGTCTCCAGATCTCAACCCCATAGAAAATCTTTGGAGGGAGTTGAAAATCCGTGTTGCCCAGTGACAGCCCCAAAACATTACTGCTCTTGAGGAATGGGCCAAAATACCAGCAACTGTGTGTGAAAACCTTGTGAAGACTTACAGAAAATGTTTGACCTCTGTCATTGCCAACAAAGTGTATATAACAAAGTATTGAGATGAAATTTTGTTATTGACCAAATACTTATTTTCCACCATAATTTGCAAATAAATTCTTTAAAAATCCTACAATGTGATTTTCTGGATTTTTTTTTCTCATTTTGTCTCTCATAGTTGAGGTATACCTATGATGAAAATTACAGGCCTCTCTCATCTTTTTAAGTGGGAGAACTTGCACAATTGGTGGCTGACTAAATACTTTTTTCCCCCACTGTATTTACTACATAAAGTATACTTGACAAATATACTTGAACTGAGCTCTTTTAGTTTACTAAAATAAAATGATGTATACATTTTTGTATGGGCTTTTATACAACGAATACTGCTAGCAATAGTGACTGTGTCAGAACAGTCAACAGCCTGACAGAAAAAAACACAACGCTTCAAATCAGGAAAAAAGCCTTCAAGGCAAGCTTCGTTTTGGGTTAGCATGCCTGAGTCAATTTTTAATTTTTACAGTGCTCTCTCCCACCTTCAATACCATGACTGAGGTGCCCTTGAGCAAGGCACCGAACCCCCAGGCGCCACAGCATGCTGCTCCCCAGGCGCCACAGCATGAATTGCTGCCCACTGCTGCAGACTAATGTCACATCACGTCACGCAGGCCACATGTCACGTCATGTAAACATGCTAATCTCCAATTTAAAGACAGAAGAAAATAAAAACACCAAGATTTGAGAACAGTTACAATGGCTGAGCTGTTTTCTTGACAATTGCTGTGCTTCACAGCATCTCTTGTAATGTGGTGCTCACATGTTGAAAGGCTCACTCACAAATATACACTAGCCTCTTTGTTTTGTTATGACCTTTTCCTTCTTTGCAGTCTCGTGTTCTAATGATACAACATTAAAAATTACCAAAAAAAAAGGTCAGAAAACACCATAACACTTAATACATAATCCTTAAAATCCAACACTCATGTTTGCATACATTCAAATAATGGAGAATCAACATGCCTCGTACATTCACTGAATATTGATATGAATTTGTTCCCTGACACAAGCTATTGTACAACTTCAGAAGACTATGAGGAATATAATGCAAAAGTATATATAATATGTATTTATATTTACGTTTATTCGTTTTGCAGATTTTTTATTCAAAGCAACTTGTAAATGAGGAATACGGCAAGCGATTCATCATAGTCAGGCAGTAAACAAGAGAAGTGCTAGTGATACAAAGTTTCAGACATCGTTTAGAATTAAAGTATAGTGAAAGCATAGAGGAAGATTTTTTTTTTTCTAACAGAATAGATGTTTATTTAATATTGTCAGGGATTTTCTGTCCCAGATTGGGTTGGGTAGATAATTCCACCAACAAGAAACAGCGAACAAAAATGTTCTGGTTGATTGATTTTGTGCCTGTCTAATGGTACCATGAGGCATCACTCATTTACTGGTGTAAGCCTTCTGAAGGGGAAGTACTCATAAGGCTGAGTGGTACGTAGATGGGTGCGGAGACTGCAGCTGTTCTATATACAAACATCAGTATCTTAACCTTGTGCAATTCAAACCTGCATGATCGTGGTGTCCTTGCAGTGTGGTCTTTGAGGGTCATCTTATTGTCAAAGATTGCCCCAAAATCTCTGACCAAACTTGATGAGATTATTGTAGATATATATCTTTAGAATGTTTAAGCTGTATAAAATGAATCCACAAACACATCCCACATCCTCATATTTCTATTTCATATATATACATACATATGCAGATATACATTCATATAATTACTCTTTTTGGTTGCCCTCATCCTCACTGTATGGGGAAAAACAGCATAAACATTCCAAAGTTTAATATTGGGTTGACTAAATGACAGAAATTAAATTTTGGAGTGAACTTTTCCTTTAAATGGAAGATAAACATTTTTATCAATTATTACAAAATCCATATAGAACAGAATCTAACAGACTGACTAAACAGACTAAATAATATGTGTAGTCTTAATCTAGTTAAAACTGTGTTCAGTTCTCTGACCATGCACCCCTCCCTCTCACAACATGAGGAAACGAACCAGGCAAAGGTGCAGAAAAAGTAAACAAGCCTGTGTTGAGGTTTCTGAAGCTTTGAAGTGGAGCTTACGGTGGCGTGCTGGGTTTCGGATGTTGTATTTGTGCAGGGCTGAGCAGTGGTGGGGAAAAAATTGGTGTGTAACGCTTGTTTGAAGTTAGGAGATCTAATCCGGTATTTATCAAAAGCACACCAACTCCATCCTCAGTGCCAGAATGACAAGCTGCTGAGAAGAAAACGCATGAAAAGTGTGAAGTGACAAGAAGCGAGTGAAACTAATACATATCAATGCAAATATACATATGGGTGGGTCTCAGAACAGCTGTCAGGAACATATTTTAAAATTAAGCTTGTTTTGCAAACATATTATATTTAAGTAAACTTTATTTTATTACCAAAAAAATTTTAAAAATTGGATGGATTAAAGTGTGATTTTTCACATCATGGTAATTAAACCTTGGAGATGAAATTTGAATAATTTGCATGAAAACAATGTTACAATGCAAAAGTAAAATCTTACTTAAAATCTGCCTTACAAAAATTGTCTTATGCCGAACATTTTTTATTTATTTTTATTTTTTATTGATTGATTTGGTAAAAAAAAAAAAGTAATCTGAAAAATATTTTTATGAAATTCACCTACATGCGTGCCTAAACAAGAGGAGCTTAAGGAAGTGAAAATAAAAGAGATTTCAGTTTGATACTTGGGAACTAACTAACTAACTAACTCAATGAGGATGTTTTCCATATTTAGCTCTTTGCTTTAGCTAATCACCTAAAGATTTATTTAAAATGCATTCAAACAGTGTTAGCATGGGCAATTTTCTAGCCAAAATGTTTAATTGTCTAATACAATCTTAAATACAAAATGTAATCTTAATTAGTAATTGGTGGACCAACTAGGTTCAGGGACTCTAGACTATATGTAACTTTTTGACCTTTTTGGAAATTGTGCCAATAATATGTTGGTATGTTGGTAAGTCAAGGATGTAACAAAGTATAAAAATATCAGTGTAACCATATATAATATTAAGAGAATCTATAATTGAAAAACCCAAAGTAATTCACCACTGTTCTGAATTTTGTGGAGCAAACATGCATAGTAAGTGACATAGAATGTGATCATGTTCAATGCTGTTGAAGCCAAAACACTAAGACTAATGTGCTTTGCATGACTAAGTGCGAGCAGTTGTATTTGAAGTGGGTAAGAGTGAAGTCGGTACTTCTCATTAGACCTTTTTTCCCTTGATGGTCTTTTTCATTTCCTCCTTTCTTTGTTTTTCACGTGCTAAAATAGATTAACTGAGGATGGCATGGCAACACAATGGGTGTGGGTGATCTGATGTATCAGTTGTGCCAATAGCTTAAGAGCTCTGGATCTCCCTTTACAGATATAGCAACACCTTTATGCAGACTTTTACAGGCATGTTTAGAATCGAGAATTTTGGTCAGGATTGTGTGTGTTAACGGTTCCTGCCAAATCTAGTGCCGTGCTGTCATGTCACAAATTATGTGGTTACAAAGATATTTCTCAACCTCATTTACCCCAAACCTCACTTTAGTTTGGCCTGCAGCAAATTACATATTTATAACAACGCAGAAAAAACAAATTTTGAAAAAGCACAGTTGGTTCTAGAATGCGGCTTGAATCAAAGTGAATAAAGTACATCTGAGTCACTATTCCGTTAATGACACTTTGTTTGAATGGTTAAAACAATCTTCTTACAATGCATTTAGTCAAGGGACTGTTCTTTGTCAATATTAGACAAATAAAATAGCTAACAACACAGAGAGAACTTCATCTTTTATATCAATGTGGCAGTACATTTAAGGGGGCATATAGATAGTATCAGTTTAAACAGTACCTGCTGAATATTTAAATATGACATTTAAACTTTGCAACTGCAATATTGTTGCAATATTGTACTATATTGTACTTTTTTAACGCACATTACACAGGGAGAAGAACTGATAATAATCTATTGTAAATAAACACCTCTACCTACAACTGTAAAACTTCATTATCAAATGAAGTTTGTAACAGAAAAAAACTGTGCATTATTACAGTGTCAATGTCAGTGCAAAGATAATATACAGTATTATATAAGTGCCAACAAAAGTTTTCAGCTTGTTAATAGTATGGCACTTCAGGCAGTCAATGTGTTTACATGTGGCATTGCATAAAATGGTATCATTCTATTTTGTGTGTGGGTTTCATTAAATAGTGGTTATGTATGTTATTTTCACATTCACTTACCATTCTGGAAATGTAAGTACATTCACATATAGTTAGAGGTTCTGGTCTAGTTTAATCAAGTTCCAGTTGATTTACAGTATATTTGTATTATTCTTACTGCACAGTTAAGTATTCCAAATGTAATTCCATTGAGAACAAGTGTGCCCCCAGTACAGGGCTGAAGGATGACTTTAAGAGGGAGGTAAATCCCTCTAAAAGGACGTAGTTTACTTACTGCCCTGAGAGATATTAACAAACCAAATTAGGGCATATTTGCATGTTTATGCCACATTTCATTCACTGCAGAGTGCTTTTTGTGCATTCAGTTTCTTTACATCCATTTGTCCAATACTTGTCCTTATACATTAGACTCATTGTGGAACATCTTGTTCTTTATGGACCTCAGGCTGAACTGAAGAGAAGAGCTCGTTTCTGACTGCAAAGCCTCAGAGAACTTGACATCAAAGGAATGGTTCATCTGAGATTTCCTCTTAATGGAGTTTTGTATTGTCTCTGAGGTGAAATAGTAGACGATGGGGTCAAAACAGCAGTTGGACACAGCAATACACAAAGCGATCGGATAGATTGTCCGAACCACTGATTCTACTGCGCAGCCCTCCAAGATTTTTGTCCGCACCAGTGAGTAGAAGACCAGGTTGACGTTGTAGGGGATGAAACAAAAGCAGAAGATGGAGAGGTGGACGATAATCATCCTCAAGATCTTTTTTTTGTTCAGCTTCCCTCCCCGACTAACAGTCTGTGGCCTCCTCAAAGTTTGAAGCACCATAGCGGAGCAAACCACGTTCAGTATCAAAGGGATAAGGAACCCCACTGTTTCTATGAAGATCACCACCTTTGAGAGATGACTCTTCCACTGATTTGAGGAGAAGTTCTCAAAGCAGGCTATCGTGTTGTTATTTTGCTTGTTAGTACTGTTCAGCATGAATCCTGTCGGAAGACTTCCAGAAAGCACCAGAACCCAAACAGCAGCACATACAATTTTGGCATTGCGTTTGGTCCGGAGACCCCTTGAACGGAAGGGGTGTACGATGGCGAGGAAGCGGTCCACGCTGATGCATGTTAGAAACAGGATGCTCCCATACATGTTGGTGTAAAAGAGTGAGACAGAGAGCTGGCAGAGCAGGCTGCCGAATGGCCAGTTCTGCTGGATGAAGTAAAACACCCTCAAAGGGAGTGTGAGCACAAATAATAAGTCAGAAACCACAAGATTCATCATATATGTGGTGGTCTCATTCCGCAGTTTTAGTGAACATGTAAAAATGTACATGGCTGCAACATTGGTGATGAGTCCCACCATGAAGACAATGCTAAACACTATGCTGTAGAGTGGATATTTGAAGTTGTCATTCTTTGGGCAGTGGGTGTTGTTGTGTAGCTGCAGAGAGGAATTTTTGTTGCTGGCACTGCCAGCCCATATCTGGGTCAAAGCCTCCATCTGAACAGTGGTGTTGTACATCTCAATAAGAAACAAAAGAGCACTATGGGGTGGTAGTTTGGCAAGACTACACAATAAAATGATTTTCCTCAATTCACAATTCAACAGGGCAAAACAAAGCATGTGAAGCAGACAGATTGCTTCCAACCACAAGATGGACTTTCCTTCAAGGGCACGTAGATCTCTTTAATGTTTTTTTTTTTCTGTTGGCAGTTTAAAACTGAAGCGATCAAACACTCCTTTGTGGCATTCTTCAACAAAGCCTCATGTTGAAGGCATTTCACCCCAGAGACTGGAGCCAAACCCCGACTACCTCTTCCCCTCCCCCTTCCTCCTGTCCTTTACCTAGCCACTCCACAAGATTGTTGCCCCAAGCTTAGAAGCTACTCACTCCAAAGTTTCAATTCACACAGTCCTTTCCTCTGGTTCGACTTCAGAAATAACATCCAAAAGCAGTCAAAAGGAGTAGTTCTGTTAGAATCCACTCCTAGTATATCCCATTGAGGAAAAACAAATGTCTTTGTCCAAAATACTCATTAAAGCAATCCCAAATTCTTCCCCTTGAAGTATTCTTTAAATTAGCCTTCTTTGTTCTCAGTCCCACAGATTGTCCAGTGATCGTAGAGCACCTGTAGACAGCATGCAGCTCTCTCTGAGTGTGACAGTGCAAAAGCAAGTCAGACTTGCTTCATCCAACGGTCTGTTTCCTGGCCCACCCTCTTCCTTGCTGCTCTGTCTTGTTGTCTCTGTCAGCAGTAGCCTCAGGGGCATTCTGTGCTGTGAGCATTGAAGAGGCGAGAGAGGCAGCTGTGCTGTGGAGGACTTTACAAGCCAGTGTTATCAGCATATTTGACTAACCATGGCTCCTCCTACCTCCTGGATAGATCCCTCCCCCTCTGACAGAGAAGCCAGACAGCAAGAAATTATTATACAGTGTACAAGGCGCAAAATGTTCTTTTAACAATTTAACATGTCAGTCTCTTTCAACAGCTTTGAATTTGTTATTGTATTATTTAATATAAAACCTTAACCAAAAGAAAATGATATCAGGAGGCTTTAAAAGTACAAGAGGCTTACTGGAGTTCTTAATTGTGTTTCTTGTAAGTATCAACTGTTTTGTTGAAATTAAGATACAGTAGTTTAGATAGTTCAGTTAGAGGAGCTTTGGGAGAATTTTGGTTAAAATGTTTTAGTTAAAATTGAAATCTCAGTTTTGTACAGACATTGGCATCTTGGTAAAGAGTTATTAGTTCTTCTTAGAAGATACTGTACATTTGAGATTACTAGAGAGTTTTTCCATGTCACAGTTTGCCTTTAGAATGGTCCAGTTAGCCCCTGATGGTAGATGTGGTAATTACACCATCTGAGTGCAAAGAGCATCGAGTCATTCAAATGATCTGACTATATGACTATATTTGTGTGATAATGTTTATAAAACATATATTTACATATTCAGTTTTACACCACCATATATATATATATTCCCCTAACAGCATGAAATGTACTTCTATTTTTCCGTCTGCTACTGACCTCACACTGAAGGGCTTGCCACTGTTTGCATTCTTGTGAAGCCGTTAGTTGTCAAAAGTTGTCATTATGTAATTTTCCTGCAGCTCTAGCATCATTACTCACATAACATTTACTGCTCATGTGCTTGGCTCAGAGAAAAAAATAGAAGCAGAACTGAGTGCACATGAGCCATGCTGAGCACTGAGTACTAAAGTTGGAAGATTTCAAATTCTGAGAGGCACCAGCCAAGCAAGTGCCACTGAGATTAACTGAAAGGCTAAATAACAGAAAGCTGTTCATTAGCATTCCCATTCATCTCAGTAACACTTGGTGGCTCTTTTTTCCCTTCAGGAAAAACATCTGAGATACAAGAGACTTTTTGCAAAAGTTGTATGGGAGAAGCAATTTAAATATTAAAGAGCTGTCAACTGTGATTTTATTATATTAATAGTTAACAACATAGAAACTGCAAGTCTGTTCCTTTTCCAAACTATATGAAAGAAAGAGGAAGTGCAACCAGCTTCCTCTGCAAAAGCTTCCGTTTAGAGACATTCTGTCAGGGTTAGGCAATGGATTTTGTTTTATATGCCACACCCTATGATACACTGCACTTTACATGCAACAACAATAACAAAGGAACCGGTCTTTGATTAAATAATGGAGCACAACAAGGACAGTTTCTAGAATTATTTTCCCCATTCATTTTCTCTATAGGGATTTTAAACAAAATACCTCAATATAGAATGTTAAGGCTAACAAAACAAAATCAACAAAAAAAGTTTGTTCTGAAGGAGAAAAAAAATGTCATATAAAAATTACAAGACTGTGTGCACTTAATGTAAACTTCACCATGAAACACTGCAAATGGTATAATAATAATAATAATAAAGTCAGATGTCAGAAAGAGCTTTATTACCAAGCATTTTAGACACACAAGGAATTTGATTTGGCGACAGGTGCTGGAAAGGAAAGGAAAGCCACAATATATATATATATATATATATACAGTGGGGCAAAAAAGTATTTAGTCAGCCACCAATTGTGCAAGTTCTCCCACTTAAAAAGATGAGAGAGGCCTGTAATTTTCATCATAGGTATACCTCAACTAAGAGAGACAAAATGAGAAAAAAAAATCCAGAAAATCACATTGTAGGATTTTTAAAGAATTAATTGGTAAAGTCCTCGGTAAAATAAGTATTTGGTCACTCCTCTTTTCAGATGAAAGTAAATTTTGCATTTCATTTGGAAATCAAGGTCCCAGAGTCTGGAGGAAGAGTGGAGAGTGGAGAGGCACAGAAACCATGTTGCTTGAAGTCGGGGGGGGGGGGGGCTTAAAGTGCACACTCTGAGCTTTAATTTGAGGCTATTCTCATCAAAACTGGAGGAAAGGTTAAGGAATTACAGCTCTTTAATATGTACCGCCCCCTTTTTCAAGGAACCATAAATAATTGGACAATTGACTCAAAAGCTGTTTCATGGAGATGTGTGGGCTATTTTTGTTATTTATACACCAGTTAAGCAGGTAAAAGGTCTGGAGTTGATTTTAAGCATGCCATTTGCATTTGGAAGCTATTGCTGAGAACCCATATCATGCGGTCAAAGGATCTCTCCATGCAGGTGAAACAGACAATTGTTAGGCTGCAAAAACAAAACAAATCCATTAGAGAGATAGCAGGAATATTAGGAATGGCCAAATCAACAGTTTTTTTACATTCTGAGAAAAAAAGAACGCACTGGTGAGCTCAGCAACATAAAAAGGCTTGGATGTCCACGGACGACAACACTGGTGGATGATCAGAGTATCCTCTCCATGGTAAAGAAAAACCATAATGTTATTCCATAACATTTAGTTTTTATATACCACTGTTCAGAACTGTGCTATAGCTAACCATGTGCTGATTAGCATCTTTGAGCTTAGTTCAGATTTATCTAAAATTGTCACTACCGAAACATTTGGTGGAGTTTCTGTAGTGACATCTTTGTTTTTATCCCATAGAATTGTGACTAACAAAACAGTCACTACCAAAACGTGTCATCATTGTTTCAGTCGTGACAAAAGATAACACATAATCCTCATATTTTGGGGAAATAAACCATTTTAGTACAGTTATGCAATTTTTTTGTATTTTAGTATGTGAGTTAAAATTCTGTAATGTGATGTGGTTGCTACCGAAGCATTACTGTCACTACCGAAAATGTGCTGTCACTACTGAAACATGGGATGTTTTGTCAAAAATAAAGTATACTGAATTATCAACTAAGATGTTTTGATAGTTTTTGGTTCAATGTATATTCAAACTAATGAATCCTTAACTTTGAAATCAGTATGATCACGGCCTTTTACAAAGAAAAATTGGATTCAAAATACAACAAATCTCATTAATTACATTTGAAATATTGTTAAAAATGTAATTGTTATGGATTTACCTCTCAAAATATTTTTGTAAAATAGCAAAAAATATATATTTACAATCTAGATGTAAAAATATCTTAATAGGTCAATATAACCCTTCTAATTAAATTATTATTACTGTGTTTCGGTAGTGACAAATTTGGGGATAGGACAAATATTCCAAAACTTTCTTAAAATACAATGAGAATTAACAGCACATTTACTAGAAATGTGTAACTTGGATATTTGCATATATAAAACAAATCTTTGGAGACCTAATAGTGGGCGCTGCCACCTCTGGGAGTTCTGTGGTGGTGTATGCAGCCCAAACACAACACAAAGCGATCCCCATCAGGGGAAACACTTCAGACAGGGGAATTAGTTCAGGAACAGAAGGGTTAAAGTGAGTGGGTTTGGGGATACCAGTGGTGTGTCCATCACACTAGATACCAGACTGGGATACCGAAAAGACTGACCTTGACGATCTGGGTGCAACAGACAGGACATGACAAGACTCCGGACGATCAGCAGTGTCCTGACGAGACTCAGGATGATCAGCTGTGACGTGACGTGACTCAGGATGATCAGCTGTGACGTGACGTGACTCAGGATGAGCAGCTGTGACTTGACTGGACTTATGAATAACAACTGTGACTTGACTTGGTTCATGAAGATCAGCTGTGACCTGACTTGGTTCATGAAGATCAGCTGTGACTTGACTTGACTTGACTTATGACAATAAAATGTGACTTGACTTGGTTCATGAAGATAAGCTGTGACTTGACTTGCCTCATGACGATCAACTGTGACTTGACTGGACTCAGGAAGATCAGCTGTGACGACTTGACTCACGACGATCAACTGTGACCTGGCTTGACTCATGAACAACAACTGTGACTTGACTTGCCTCATGACGATCAACTGTGACTTGACTGGACTCAGGATGATCATCTGTGACTTGACTTGGTTCATGAAGATAAGCTGTGACCTGACTTGCCTCATGATGATCAACTTTGACTTGACTTGCCTCATGAAGATCTGCTGTAAGTTGACTTGACTAAGGGTAATCAACTGTGACTTGACTTGAGTCGTGACGATCAACTATGACTTGACTCAGGAAGATCAGCTGTGACCTGACTTGACTCACGATGATCAACTGTGATTTGACTTGGTTCATGAAGATCAACTTTCACATAACGGGGCGCTGTTGTGTCCGCCATTTTGTGAGCGTAATCTAGTGCGGGGGCCATTACACGAGTGAGTGTGGGGTTGCGTTCCTCCAAGATACCCACAGTGAATAGAGAGTCAACAGTCAACAAAGCAAAGTCCAAAAAACAACTCGTGGACCCTCGCGTCTAAGCTCAGATCGTAGAGGTTGATTAAGGCCATCACAAAAAAACTCTATCAAAAGACAGTCTGGTAGATCAGAATAGTGTGCTATGGCTAAAAATTCGCAAACATAGTTCTCTAGTGATCACGGACCCTGTCTAAGGGCTAACAAAATCCTTGCCGAGTCCATACCTGGCCAATGTTCCTCTGAAAAGCTGCTGGATCCTTGTGAGGCCGAGTATTCTGTAACGGAGGGAACACAGGAAGCGTGCGGATCCATCTGCAAGGCTTTATTTGCAAGAGACGTGGTCAAAAACAGGCATTGGTCAGACAATGGCAAACAGGTATATTGATGGCAAGGCAAGAGGGATAATCCAGGTACAAGGCAAAGGTCCAGGTAGGGGCGAACAGTATCCAATTGGGCGAGACTCGAGGGATAATCCACGTACACAGGCAGTGATCAGAACACGGGGAAACAGACAAGGCAAGATGATGAAAACAAGGAAAAACAAGACACTAGGCTCGGTAAGGCAGCTAACACTAGGGGAGTGGAAAATGCAGAACAATAAACGAGACTAAAACAGA